GGGTGTGGAATGCACTGGGCTAGGTCTTGGCTGACCCACTTGAGAGCTATCTCTGGACATGGACCAGGTACGGCTGGGCTGTAACACCCAACAGTAAGAACTGGACTGGGTGTGGGCTGGCTGGGCAAAGCCACTGTTCCTGCCAGAACAAGAGGTAGGCTAAGTCAACCTGCCACTGGGAGCAGACCTGGCAGAGGAACTTCTTTGTCAGAACACAGTCCCTGCAGATGAGTGCAAGAACCAAGGCAAGGAGCAGCCCAGACCAGGTCAGGTTATAGTACCTGCCAGCATTCCTGTGGGTTAGGTCTGGGGCTGATCTGAGAAAAAGGACAGGGTTCAGGCCAGGCCAGGCCAGGTTGGACCGTAAAAAAATCAACCAATCCACATTAGGGTTGGGACTTGGGACTGACTGAGCAGGCCTAGGCTGTAGCACCCATCAGCAGGAGCTGGAACTAGGGACAGGCTGGACTAAGTCATGCTGAAGTACTCACTGATGGATGCCAAGGCAAGGCAAGCCATGCCAGTCTGGGTGCAGTGGATGCTGGGTCTGTGAGCCTCAGGAGAAGGAGTTCGGTGGGGTCCAGGTCGATTAGTCAAAGTCCTTGGACTCACCTGTGTGGTGCGTGCCAAGTCCATGAGCCCTGGGACAGGGGTTCTGGTGGGGCCTGGGTTTCCTGGCCAGGGTCCTTGGACCTGCCTTCACAGTGGGTGCTGGGTCCTTGAGCCCTGGAAGCGGGGGAGGGGAGTTGGCCAGGGTCAGTCAGGTGACCCAGTACACCAATGGCACTGGGGAAAGCTCACTGGCTGCCCGGTGGCACACTTGTGGGGACTTGGTACGTGGACTCACAGGAGTCTGGGATGGCACATGTGGAGGCCTGATTTCTCACATAGAGGATTGGTGCTCTGACTGTGGAGTGCATGCATCAGAATTGGGCCTTGCTAGTAGAAAAGATGGAGCAGTGGCTGGCTGGCACAGATGCACATGGAGGATATGGTAGCCCATTGGGGCCAGCAAAAGACATTTGATATGACCCAGCGGCGTGGCCTAGCAGCTAAAGTCCTCGCCTTGAACGCACCAGGATCCCGTATGGGCGCCGGTTCTAATCCTGGCAGCTCTACTTCCCATCCAGGTCTTTGCTTGTGGCTTGGGAAAGCAGTCGAGGATGGCCCAAAGCCTTGGGACCCTGCTTCCACGTGGGAGACCAGGAAGAGCTCCTGGCTCCCAGCTTTGGATCGGCACAGTACCGGCTGTTGCGGTCATTTGGGGAGTGAATCATCAGACGGAAGATCTTCCTCTCTGTCTCTCCTTCTCTCTGTATATCTGACTTAGCAATAAAAATAAATCTTAAAAAAAATTTAATCTCCATCACATAAAAAAAATCAAAGATGAAAAACAAGACATTATAATGGCTACTATGAACAATTATAGGGCAAAAAATACCAGATAACCTACAACAGGCATATTCCTGAACACATATTTCTTAATAAGACTGACCCATGAAGAAATAACACAGACAAATACCTCAATAAAGATGCAAACAAAACAAAACAAAACAAAAACAAAAAAACACCCAGCAACGGCTGGTACTATGGTGTAGCAAGTTAAGCTGCCACCTGTGGAACTGGTTTGAGCCCTGGCTGCTCCCCTTCCAAGCCAGCTCCCTGCTAGTGTGCCTGAGAAAGTAGTGGTGCATGGCCTAACTTCTTAGGCTTCTGCAGCCATCAGGGAAATCTGGAAGAAGCTCTTGGTTCCTGATTTCAGATTGACTCAACCCTAACCATTGCAGCCTCTTGGGGAATGAGTCAGTGGACAGAAGATCTTCTCTCTCTCTCCCTTTTTCTCTCTCACTTTTCCCCACTCTCTTTCTCTCTCTGTAACTCTGCCTTTCAAATAAATATTCTTCAGAAGATTAATAACGAATGGCAAGATTGACCTAGTAATCTCTAGTCAAAGAAAAACTGGGAGCAGATGGCTCCACTGCTAAATTCTACCATATATTTGAAGAATTAACAGCAGTTCTTAAATTATTCAAACAAAACAGAAATGAACTTTTCCAAACTCATTCTACAAGGTCAACACCACCTTGATACTCAAAACAGACAAGCAAACAACAACAAAAAAGAAAGCAACAGATTAGTTAGTATACCTGATGAATATAGATGCAAATAGTCCCAATAAAACACTAGGAGACTGAATCCAACAACACATTTAAGATTATTCACATGATCAAGCAATACACATTCCAAGGATGCAAGAATGGCCCAATAAACACAAATCAATAAGCACAATACAACACGTCAACATAATAAAGACTAAAACTTTATTATCACTTCTATAGATGCAGAAAAGGCACTTGAGAAAACCCAACATCTTTTCATGATTAAAAAAAAAAACTTCTAAACAAACAAAGTATGAAAGGATGTATTTGAATACAATAAAGTCTACCTACAACAAGCCAACAGCTAGGATTATTCTGATCAGGGAAAGGTTCAGGTGAATCTATCTGGAATAGGACAAGGATGTGTGAGTGGAAGCCTCGGCTGTGGATCACGCATTCACGTAAGAAGTCCTGGAGAACTTGAACAGTTATGGTGAACTTATCCGTTTAATAATAACCAAGCACAAGCTTAAACAGGGAGGGTCCAAGGAAGCATGCCTCAGAGTACAGGGAAGTAAAAATATTTCTACTAGATATAAGTATCTATTACTTATTCTAAACCTAGCCAATCAGTATAGCACTGTGTAGCCCACCACAACTTATGTAGCCCACTTACATCATGGAGTTGTTTATTACAAAACTATCAAAAGATTACCACTAGATGGGTACTGGCAGGGGTAGCCAGGGGGAGGACGTGATCAAGCTACTAGAAATTCCCCAAATTACCAGAAAAGGCTGGAGGAGGGAAATACCTGGAGGGCTCCAGAATTTTTTTTTCCCAACTGTATGATTTCACAGAAGTCTCAAGGTGCTGTGGAGACAAAAGGGTCCAAGGCTTTTGCCAAAACAGAGTGGGTGGGGAGGTCTCGAGTCTCTAGACATGCATCAAAACCTTGCTCCTGCTGCCCATAGCATAGGCTAACTAAGCCAAGACCCATCCTGGCACTCACACAAGTCCTAATCCGGATAGGGAAGGTGACAGAGAGAAACGAAGGACTTGGCAAGGAGAACGTCAAATTGTGATTGTTTGCGGGCAACAAGATCTTACAGAAAATCCCAGGGACTCCCCCCAGAAGCTAGCAGGAAAATCAACATATTCAGCAAAGTTGAAAGACACAGAGACAACACACAAAAATTAGTAGTATTGTTATATACCAATCACATTATTTGAAAAACAAAACAAAGCAGTTCAATTTCCAATAGCTACAATAAACAAACATCTAGTAATAAGTTCAACCAGACAGGAAAGATCTGAACAACAAAAACTGTAAATCACTGACCAAAGACACCAAACAGGACATACAGAGTAGAAATTATTCCATGTTCACAGATGGGAAGAATCAACATTGATAAAATGTTTGGACTTTACAAATCCAATCCTTGGCCCGCGCGATGGTGCAGTGGTTAAGGTCCTCGCCTTGCACGCCCAGGATCCCATATGGGCGCCGGTTCTAATCCCGCAGCCCCACTTCCCATCCAGCTCCCTGCCTGTGGCCTGGGAAAGCAAAGCTTTGGGACCCTGCACCCGTGTGGGAGACCCGGAAGAGGCTCCTGGCTTCGGACCGGCATAGCATCTGCCGTTGGGCTCACTTGGGGAGTGAATCATCGGACGGAAGATCTTCCTCTCTGTCTCTCCTCTCTGTATATCCGCCTTTCCAATAAAAATAAAAATAAATCTTTAAAAAAAAAACAAATCCAATCCCTAACAAAAATGCCAGTAACGTTTTTCACAGACCTAGATAAACATCACTAAAATTCAACTGGATCTGGAACAGACCGAGCGATCTTGGAAGACAGTACGCTACCCAAGTTTAAAATACATTAGAAAGACACAGTATCAGCATGGTGTTGGCATAAAAAACTGACACACAGATCACCAGCAAAGAAGAGAATCTAAAAGGAAACCTATGCATCCAAAGTCAAACTTAAGAAGGGGCTAAGGGCACTGTAAAAGGCCAATCTTTCCAATACATACAGCTGGTAACACCGAATATCCACGTGCAGAAGAAACAAAAAAATGCTTTCCAACCCAGAAAATGTTACTTCTAGAACTTGTTCTGAAATTTGAATTTTGCTGGCTATGGTAGCATCTCTCCAGGCCTTTTGCAAGGAATAAGGAAGCGGGTGGTATAATCCTCATGGCTGATCTCAACATTTATTCCAACTAGTCTGGCAGGAGTCCAATCATCCTTCCACCTGGAAGCAGGCTGAGTCGGCCTCGGAAAGTATCCTTTGTTTCAAGAACAGCGTCGCAGATGTGGGCACAGAAAACACACACGCCCTCCTCGCAGGCCTGACTGACCGCAGGTGTCCAGCGCTACCTGGACACCCGGTCCTCGCTGATCTCCAAGAAGTTGCCCCGCCCTCAACCCCAAGGAACTCATCAGCGGGGCATGGAGACGGAGCCCCTGCAAGCTTGCATTCTGTTCACCTGCCTCTGGCCTGACAGCGCACAACCTCACCCGCAGACCTTCCCCTGCGTGGGCTCGGGCCGGGCCAGCCAGCGGGTCCCCTGCGCAGGGACGCCCCTCAGCTCCCCAGCTCTCCACTGAACAGGCAGGCAACGCTGACCACCAGGGCACACGGACACACCCCCGTGCTCGGACGGGGAAGCCCTACCTGGCTCGCGGCGTCGCTTCCTAGGGCAGCGGTCCGCAGGAGACGCCCAGGGGTCCGGTGTCCCGCCTGGGCCCCACCACCCTCCCGGAACTCGCTCGCAGCGGTTCCGCGGCGTTCCAGTAGTAGTCGCAGCGGCACAACCCAGGAGCCTTCTGATTGGCTAAGCCTCACGTTTCCACTTCCGGAGGAGAGGTTGCCTGGTTGCCTAGCTACCGAATCGCGCACGCTTGGGACCGGGTGAGAAGCTTCCTTCCCTTCAAAGCTGCAAAGCTGGCGGAGCAGGGGGAGTCGCAGAGTCTGGACAATCTTTCCAATACGTCTCCGGCCAGTGAGTGTCTGTTTTCCCAAGGCCTTGGCGGGGAAAAGGCCAGTTTAGGTGGACTTCGAGTTGGTACTCAACCGCATCCCTGGGTAACTCCTACAAGGTGTGACATAGTTCCCTAGCATCTACACTAGGAGGTGGAGTGGAGACGCTGAGAGCACCCCCAGGTCACAAGTAGAGAGCTGGATGAGAAGAGGGGTTGCTGGGATTAGAACAGGCACCCATATGGGTACTCGGCCGATTCCCGTGTGCTGGACCCATGGACGCTGCTTCTAATCCTGCTGGCTCTGCTTCCCTTCCAGCTCCCTGCTTGTGGTCTAGGAAAGCAGTCGTGGACCGGCCAAGTGCTTGGGACCCTGCACCTGCCTGGGAGACCTGGAAGAGGCTCCTGGCTCCTGCCTTCAGAATGGCCCAGCTCTGGCTGTTGTGGCTACTTTAGGAGTGAACCAGTGGCTGGAGGACCTTTCTCTCTTTCTCTCCTCCTCTCTGTGAATCTGCCTTTCCAATAAAAACAAATCTTTTGGAAAAAAAAAAAGAAAAGAACCAGTGCCCATATGGAATCCCAGTGGTTGCAAGGAAAGGATTTAGCTACTAGGTTATGGGGCTAGGTTCCATTCCTACTTTTTCTTAGAATTAATATAAGTGAGCGCTTTCTCTCTCTCTCTCTCTCTTTCTCTCTCCACCCCCCCACCCACCCCATCACCATCTTTTAACATCTATTCCTTTCCCCAGTGCCTGTGATGCTAAGGCTGGACCAAGGACTTTAATCCAAGTATCACATGTGCGTGGCAGTTTCTGCTACCTCCCAGAGTCTGCATCAGCAGGAATCAGGAGTGGAGCTGGAACTGAATGCAGGCACTCCCTGTGGGATGCAGGCATCCCACACAGCATCTTTAACCACCAGGCCCAACACAAACCCTGAACAAGATCAGAATTCCTGCAACATTGATCTCATACCATTGCAATATTGACATGGTTTGCATTTTAGTTACAGCTTGTATGTTAAGCCTTATTTGTTTATTTATTTTTAGATTTATTTGAAAGGTAGAGTAACAGAGGGAGAGACTGAAAGACAGGGTAGGGAGAGAAGTCTTCCTTCTGCTGGTTGCCTCTCTAAATGGCCCCCACGCTGGGTCTAGGCCAGGCTGAAGCCAGGAGCTTTTTTTGGATCTCCCACGGGGTCCAGGGACCTAAAAATTGGGCTAACCTCTGCTGCTTTCCCAGACACATTAACAAGGAGTTGGATATTGCAAGTTTGGCAGCCAGGACTCCAACGGGCATCTTAGGGCACAGTTAACAAGTAAAGCCTACTGCTTCAGCCCTAAGGCCTTATTCTTAATCTGCAAATAGTACTTGCAAAATATTTTCTCAACAATAGGTTTAAAAAATGTTTTTACTAATTGCTTTGATTCTGATTTTGTTTTTGGCTTCATATCTACCCCTAGATTTATTTTTGTTCCTGTTAAAAGAGTGTATGTTCTTATATTTATTCCAGAGATGAAGTATGACTACTAAGTTCTGAATTCTGCCATGTTGAAAAGCTCTTTGGTTTCCATCATTTCATAAAGGTGGTTTGGCTGCAGATACAACCATCGATCCTCTCCACATGGTTTCCTCAATATTGGGAAAAATTTAAGCTCTAATGTTGTAGTCCACTGAGTGTTCCAGGGCACTAAGGTTGATTCTTCCCAATCTTCTGATCTTGCATCTTTTTTTTTTTTTGGCCTGGTTTCTATTCCAGTCTCATTTGGCTTAGCCCTTCCTGGCCATCACCACTTATTGTTTCTGTGTATTTATTTTGTTCCCCTGTTGCCAAATCAGAGGTTTCACACACCACTTGACCTCCATGGGACAAAGTATAGATCACACAGGGTACCTATACAAGTAAAAACTTATCATACAAAAACTTGTTTATCCAAATTCGCAGAAGTGTTATTCATAATGATCCCTGAGTGGAGACGGATATCCATCAGCTGATGAAGAGTAAGCAGATTGTGCCATTTGTGCGTGATGTATTTGGCAGTAAAAGGGAATGAAGTCCTGATACATGGCATCATGAGGATGACTCTTGAAAACATGTAAAGTAAAAGAAACCAGTTACAAGGGACCACATATTGTGTGGTTCCTCTTCCTTAGGAGTGCCCAGAATAAACAAATCTATTCAAGTAGAGGTGTGCTGTGTAGGTGCTTGAGCCAGTGAGGACCTTGAGAGAAATGGTAACTGACAAGGGATAAGGTTTCTTTTTCGTTTCACTAAAATGTTCTCACATTAGATTGATGATTGTGCAACTCTGGATTTACTCAAAAAAATATTGAATTGTATTCTTTTGCAGGGTGAATTTCATGGTATAGGAATTACATGTTATTAAAGCTATAATAAACAGATAAAAACACATCATCTAGGCAAAATTATTAATGTCCCCAGGACCCTATACTGGACACTGGAAGTGCTAAACAACCATAACATATTTGTGACTGTGTGAAATGAACTGTGTTTTTATAACTCTTACTTACCATTTAAAAGCATCTGAACTTATGTGACTTCCCTTATCTCTTTTAAAACAGCTTCGGAAGTTTATAAGATAAACTTTATATTTCCAAATGGAGACAAGTATGGTGAGCATACATTTCAATTACTTTATCTATATAGAAAATTAAATAGTTTATGAAGAGAAAGGAGGCTCTCACATTGATATCATTAAATAAATAACATAGAAATCCTAGTAAAAGCACACATTTTAAATCAGAACTTCAACGTTAAGTTGGACCATGTGTTTGGAAAGCTCTGGATCTGTTGCTGCTTCTGCCCCTTGGTCTCGGAGGAGCAAGGTGTTGGAGGTTTCTGGATGCGCTCATCTCTGGCCACTCTGCGAGGGCGGCGGTCACAGAGACTTGCAAAGCTGCAGTTGCGATTAGTCCCAGATGCAACGGCAAACGCACAGACAGTTCTCATTTACAATCTTTATTTCTCCTCTGCTTAGATGGTGAATGTACAAGAACGTCTTCTGGAGTGTATGAGAGAAATGGAATAGGTATTCATAGCACTCCTAATGGGATTACCTACACAGGGAACTGGAAAGATGACAAGGTATTATTGCTGATTTTTAAAAAAGATTTATTTTTTTTTTTTATTGGAAAGGCGGATATACAGAGAGGAGTAGAGACAGAGAGGAAGATCTTCTATCCATTGATTCACTGCCCAAGTGACTGCAACAACCAGAGCTGAGCCAGTCTAAAGGCAGTAGCCGGGAGCTTTTCCAGGTCTCCCACACAGGGTCCCAAGGCTTTAGGCCGTCCTCCATTGCATTCCCAGGCCACAGGCAGGGAGCTGGATGGGAAGCAGGGCCACCAGGATTAGAACTGGCGCCCATATGGGATCCTGGCGCATTCAGGGTGAGGACTTTAACTGCTATGCTATCGTGCCAGGCCCATGGCTATTTTTAATGTTGACAGTAGATAAATCCCCCTCTTGGTTATTTGATTCCCTTCATTCCTCATTAATCAAAAATATACAATGAATACACAATAACATGACATGATTGTGTTAATATATTTTAACATGTGAGGGATGTTAAACTCGTGCAGGGAGAGTTCATCATCATCTATCTCATCTCATACTCACTGAGTACAGGTAGATCTATTGTGTAATTTTCTTGTTTAATCCTTCTAATATCCTCATGAGGTAGGTGCCATGTAGCACTCATATTTTGCATAAAATCCCTAGAAGTTCAATACCTAAATCAGAGAAATTTGATTTAGTAGACAGATAGAGTTGAAGGACAGTAATAAAAAATGTAAAGCTTAAAGGTGAAGCAAAGTTGATTACGGAAAATTTGATAATAGCATGTATGTTTTCAAAAGTTTCTGAGGGTCCTGGCGCAGTTGCCTAGTGGTTAAAGTCCTTGCCTTCTGTGTACCATGATCCCATATGGGCACTGGTTAATTTCCTGGCTGCTCTACTTCCCATCCAGCTCCCTGCTTATGGCCTGGGAAAGCAGTGAAGGATGGCCCGAAGCTTTGGGACCCTGCACCTGTATGGAAGACCTGGAAGTTCCTGGCTCCTGGCTTTGGACTGGCTCAGGTTCAGCCCTTGCGATCAGGAGAGGAGTGAGCCACCCGACAGAAAATCTTTGTCTCTCTTCTCTCTGTAAAGCTGACTTTTCAATTAAAAAAAATATGTATCTTAAAAAAAGTTCCTGGGGAAAGTGTGAAAATTAGTTTCTGAAATAATTTCCTATGTTACAGATGAATGGTTTTGGAAAACTTGAGCATTTTTCAGGAGCAGTGTATGAAGGCCAATTTAAGGACAACATGTTTCATGGATCGGGTACTTATACATTCCCAACTGGGGCAAAGTACACTGGAAATTTCAATGAAAATAGGTAAGCTTCAACATTTTTTAATTCTGAAAAGCTCATTTCAGTTATGTTTGTTTATTGCATTTGGTTCATACTAACTCTTTTTGGTAACAGTTTCTAAGAGTTATTGTAGAAACTGAAAAGGATTGTATATGAATAGGAAGGTCAAACAGGATAAATGAACAGTCTGATGAGTTAGTACTAAGATTCACACTCTCTTTTGAAGATTTATGATACTTGTAACACCTGTTCCTCCTCCTCGCCTTGCTCACGCCGGGATCACCAACGGGTGCCAGTTCTAATCCCAGCAGCCCCACTTCCCATTAGCTCCCTGCCTGTGGCCCAAATCCTTGGGACCCTGCACCCATGTGGGAGACCTGGAGGAGGCTCCTGGCTTCTGGCTCCTGGCTTCGGATCAGCTCAGCTCTGGCCATTGCAGCCACTTAGAGTGAACCAGCGGATCTCTATCACTCCTCTTCTCATATCTGAGTTGCCAATAAAAATAAATAAATCTTTTTTAAAAAAGAGAAAGGCAGACAGATACACACACACACACACACACACCTATACACACACACACAGAAATTTTCCACACATCCACTGTTGGACTTCTGAAATGGCCACAACAGAAATGACTGGGTTAGGCCAAGAACCAGGAGCCAGGAACTTTATCTGGGTCTCCCACATAGATGGCGGGGTCACAAGCCCTTGGAGCATCTTCTGTTGCTTTCCCAGTTATATTAATGGGGAGCTGGATTGAAAGTTAAGAGTCAGCACTGCCGGCAATGGCTTAGCAGGTGATGCTTTAAGTTGCAGGAGCACTAGGCTGTCCTTTGTAATACGCTTTTTGAAAAACAGCCTTGGGGGTATGTATTTCATTTTGACCTGATGTGTGAATGTATTTTTACACAGGTTAATTTTTTTTTTTTTAGCGTAAGCAAAATTAGTTAATTGTAAACTTACAGTGTTGTCCTTTCTGAGCATAGATTGTAGGAAAGATAAAAGTGAAGTGAAGTGTGAGTACAGCTTTACAAGCCAGTCTTCATAGTGAATATCGTGCCATGCTACACAGAGGTTTGTATTTGTGTATAAACATGCCTTTCTTCTGGAACTTTTTCCAATTCAACCATTGTTACGAAGTGATCTGATCTGAATACATTTTGAAGAGGACAAAAAAATGTTCGCTCATTTTTACTTCAGGTTTGTGACTGTGACACATAAGCTTTTCCTATTGATACTAATAAAGGGAAAGAAAGCTTGAATTTCTAGGATAAACTTCTGTTTGTTTATATAAAAAAGACTTTTTTTGGTGGTGTTGTTACTTTGAAGAGTTCAAGAAAATGCCAGCACAGAGTAAGGCACCTAAAAGATAATTAATAGCCAGAAATCTGTAGAATAAATGAATAAACAAATTAAGTTAAACAACCAACATAAACTTTATGGTTTTTAGCTGTTTTTGGCTTTATGTAAACCTAGCTTATGTAATCCTAAATCTTAAGACACCAAAATTTGTATCATGACAGTGTTTGGAAATAAGAGGTTTTTTTGGATGTGAAAAGCATACTAATTGTTATTAAAAGTCAAAAAGTCAAAAAGATATGGTACATTAGACCTGCTGTATAATTTGCTAGACAATCGTGTCTGGATTGCGAATTCTTTGTGATGGTTAGTAAACACTTAACATTTTACTGTTGCAGGGTGGAAGGTGAAGGGGAGTTTACTGATACCCAAGGACTGGAATGGAGTGGTAACTTTCATTTTACGGCTGCTCCGGGCCTGAAACTAAAATTCCACATGTAGATGTTCTGCATTGAAGTTTAAATCTAGTCATCTATAAGGAAATGAGTTGGATCTGTGATCTGCAGTAACCTCAAACACAGTTTCTATAAGTTTGCCAATAAAACCATCATTAAACCATGTTTTTTTTGAATTTGTCTTCATTATCTTTTCATTTAAAATAAATCATATTGTTCAGTTTGCTCGTTTTTTAAAATGGTATTTATTTATAAAATTTATTTTTATTGAACAGTCAGATATGCAGAGAGGAGGAGAGCCAGGAAGATCTTCCATCCGCTGATTCACTCCCCAAGCAGCTGCAATGGCTGAAGCTGAGCCAATTTGAAGCCAGAAGACAGGATCCTCTTCTGGGTCTCCCTCACTGGTGCAGGGTCCCAAAGCTTTGAGCTGTCCTCAACTGCTTTCCCAGGCCACAAGCAGGGAGCTGGATGGGAAGTGGAGCTGCCAGGATTAGAACCGGTGCCCAAATGGGATCCCGTTGCATTCAAGGTGAGGACTTTAACTACTATGCTATCATGTTGGACCCAAAAATTATTTTTATTTGAAAGACAGATTTACAGGAAGAAGGAGGAACCGGGAAAGAGCTTCCATCTTCTGGTTCACTCCCCAAATGACTACAACTGTCAGAGCTGACCTGATCTGATCCAAAGCCAGGAGCCAGGAGTTCTTCCGGGTCTCCCATGCAGGTGCAGGGTCCCAGGGCCTTGGGCCATCCTATGCTGCTTTCCCAAGCCACAGGCAGGGAGCTGGATGGGAAGTGGAGAAGCCGGAACACAAACTATACCTTAACTGGAACCTTATGCCTTTTGATTAGTAATGACCCACTTCCTCATTCACCCCAGCTCTTGGTAACCATCATCCCATTTTGGTTCTGTGAATCTATTTTGCATACCTCATGTAAGTGGAATCATGCATCATTTATCTTTCTCTATCAGCTTATTTCATGTTGCTAAATGTTCATACTGGTCCATGTTGCAGAATTTCCTCCTTGTTGAAATTCTGAATAATGTTCCATTGTATAGCTCATGTTTTCTTAATGTATTGATTGCTAGGCGTTTAGGTGTTTTCTACATCTTGGCTATTTTAAAAAGATTTATTTATTTATTTATTTTTGCAAAGGTGGATTTATGAGGGAAGGGGCGACAGAGAGAAGAAGACAGAGAGGAAGATCTTCCATCCACTGCTTCACTTCCCAAGTGGCCTCAATGGCTGGAACTAAGCCAATCCGAAGCCAGGAGTCAGGAGCTTCTTCTGGGTAACCTCTGTGTGTGTGTGTGCAGGGTCCCAGACCTTTGGGCCATCCTCCAGTACTTTCCTAGGACAGAAGCAGGAAGCTGGAAAGAAAGTGGAGCAGTTGGGACATGAGCTGGTGTCCATATGGGATACTGCCACATGCAAGGGGCAGGGGGACTTTAGCCATTAGGCCCTTGCGCCTGAGCCTATTTTTAGTCTTTTGTAGAACTGTCATATTGCCTTCCATAGTGAGTGCATCATTTGACATTCCCACCCACAGTGTGGAAGGGATACTATCTCTTTACCAATTTTTATCTCTTTACCAATTATTAGCCTCACCAGTGGTTGTGTTGTTTGATAACAGCACCCTGTCAGACTTCATCTGGTATCTCACTCGGCTTTTATTTCTATATGCTAAGTGCTTGGTCATTTTGAGTATGTTTTTTATGTACCATGTGTAGCCATTTACATGTCTGTGTCAAAGTAACTATTCATGTCCTTAGCCCTTTTTAAATTTGATTACTACCTTTTTTTCTGATATTGAGTTATGCACAGAGAGTTCTTTGTATATTTCTCAATTTAACTCTTCACAAAACATGTCATTCTTACATATTTTCTCCCAATCCATAGGTTGCCATTTCAGTCTGTCGATTGTTCTGCTTGCTGTGGAGATTCTAGTTTGGTATAGTCCTGTCTCATCTACTCATTGTTTTTGTCGTCTCTGATTCTGATGTCACTTTGTGAAGATCAACATCATCAAGCTTTTCCTTTATGCTTCCGTTAACACATTAGAAGTCCCACACATAAGTGGATGTTTGGCGCAGCTGTTCAGACATTAGTTGGGGTACCCACAACTCATATCAGAATACCTGCGTTTGAGTCCTGGCCCCACTCATCATTTCAGCTTCCTAATCAGTGTGGATCCTAAGAGGCAGCAGAAGAGCGTCCAGGTGTTTGGGTCCCTGTCAGCCCCCCCGAGAGACCTGAGTTGAGTTCTGGGCTTCTTGCCTGTGCCTCTTCGGCCCCAGTTCTTGTGAGGCTTTCAGGATCAAATTGAAGAAATCGTAAAAAGAAAAAGGCGGAAATCTAGCACCCAGAATTCACAAAGAATTGTTTTGCAAAATAAATAAATAATAATAACAATAAAGCCCCACATTTACTTATTTGAAAGATGGATTGGCAGAGAGGAGAAAGTGGGGTGCCCGGGGAGCAGGGCAGGGTGGGGTGAGGTAGGTATTTTAGGTCTGCTGGCTCACTCCCCAAGTTATTGCAAAGGTCAGACCAGATGTTCACAACAATCTGGGCTGGACCAGATAGAAGCCAGGAGTTTTATGTGGATCTCTTAGGTGACTGCATAGGCTCAAGTTCTTGGGTCATCTTCCACTATGTTTCCAGGCACAGTAGCAGGGAGCTGGATCAGAAGTGAGAGACACTGGGGAGGTTGTCACCGTGGTTAGTGGTTTAATTAGCTAGGCTACGGTACCAGCCCCACAAAGAACTCTTACGGCTCCATAATAGATGCTCCAATTAAAATATGGGCAAGGAGTGTGTGTGTTAAGACACTCCTCAGGATACCTGCATCCTGTGTTGGAGTGCTAGGTCAAGTCTGGACTACTGTATTTGTCATCCAGCTTCCAGCTAAGGTGCCTGGGAAGCAGCAGGTGCTGGCTCAAGTACTTGAGTTCCTGCTATCCATGTGGGAGACCTTGTTGTACTTCCCGTCTCTTGCTGGCAGCTTGGCCCAGCTGTTGTGGCCATTTGGAGAGTGAACCAGTAGATGGAAGATCTTCCAGCCCCACACTTCTCTGCCACTCTGCTTTTCAAAGAAATCAATATTTTTTTTATAAATGCATGAAAGTGTTAATTATGAATTTGTAAATAAAAAAGGTAAAACATGATGAAACCATAATCAAAAAGATTTTCAGCTTCATTGCTTTTATTTTATTTTATTTTTAAAGATTTATTTATTCTATTACAAAGTCAAATATATAGAGAAGAGGAGAGACAGAGAAAGATCTTCCCTCTGATCCAATGATTCACTCCCCAAGTGAGCGCAACGGCCGATGCTATGCAAATCCAAAGCCAGGATCCAGGAACTTCCTCCGGGTCTCCCACATGGCTGCAGGGTCCCAAAGCCATCCTCGACTGCTTTCCTAGGCCATAAGCAGGGAGCTGGATGGGAAGTGGAGCTGCCGGGATTAGAACTGGCACCCATATGGGATCCCGGCACGTTCAAGGTGAGGACTTTAGCCTCTAGGCCACGCCACCAGGCCCCAGCTTCGTTGCTTTTTAAGAAAATGCAAATCTAATCCTCAATGAGATACCACTTCCCACCTTCCATAGTATAGCTACATTGAAAAAAAAAAAAAAAAAAAAGAAAAGGGAAAAAGGAGCAGCAGCCTGCTTGGAATGCCCACAGCTCCCAATTGGAGTGCCTCGGTGTGATTCCGAGCTCTGCTCCAGGCCCAGCTTTGGGGCAGTACCTGTCTTGGGAGACTGCAGGTGAGGATGGACTGGTTGGACTCCTGCCTTCAGTAGGGGAGGCCCCAACTTCAGTTCCTGGCCTGTTGTTGAGGCTAACCCAGGCCTGGCTTTTGTAGGTATCTGGGGAGTGAAACAACCCTTGGAGATCTCTGACTGCTTTTCCAATAAACAGTAAGAAAGGTCGGCAAGGATGTGGACAGGTGGAATGTTCAAATAATTCTGGTGGGAATGTGAAATGTTGCAGCCCCCATGGAAGACAGTTTCCCGAATGTTGAATATAGAATTACCATAGAACTCAGCCCTTCCTGGATATGTGCTCAGGAGAATTGACTTACAGGTGAGTGTTCACACTAATTTAACTCATTTCCATGACCTGAATGTCTGTATCCTTCCAGAGCGCTCAGAGGAAAGAGATGTGATGATAAAGCAGGAAGAAGTCATCTTTGAGGCGGAGGGCAAGCCCAGACCAGGCTCTGAATCCACTGGTGCCCTCTGCCCAGCCTCCAAGACTGTGCTATTTGCAAGTTACCCAGGTGTAATGTGTTTTGTGATGACAGTCCAAACAGACTAAGACCTCCATAAGAACCTCAAACTGGAAACAACCCGGGTGTCTATTAACTAATGAATAGGTAAAGAAAACATGATTTTGTCCACACAATGGAATATTACTCGGCCATAAAAAATGAAGCATTGGTATTTGTGACATGAATAAATATCGAAAATCTTGTATTAAGTGAATGGAGCCAATCATCAAAGATCACATATGGCATGATTTCATTTATTTGAAATGTCCAAAATAGGCAAATCCTTAGAGACAGAAAGTAGATTAGAAGTTGCCAAGGGAGGAAGGAATTGGGACACAAGAGGTTTCTTTGAGGGATGGTGAAAATGTTTCAGAGGTAGATAGTGGCAATGGTGACGAATGTGCAGTTTTTTTTTGATTATGCTGAAATCTGCCGAGCTCTTTACCTTTTAAAGGAGCAAATTGTACAGAATGTAAATTGTATCTCATTTTCTTAAAATGTGTATCAGTGTGTCATCACAAATTTGCAATCCAGTAAACTTCCTTTGTAAGGAAGTTTTCTATTTTCTATTTTTTAGTTGAAAATGATTGGAAAGGTATATGTTGGATATATATACCAGGATATTTTTGCAGAAACGGTACTTCAAAACTGTCAAAAATTGTGTATGCAATTTATGTGTCATTTTTATTCAAAGTCTTATAAATATTTGTATTTCTTTTTTTAAAGATTTATTTTTTAGTTTTATTGGAAAGTCAGATATACAAAGAGGGAGAGAGACAGAGAGAAAGATCTTCTGCCCTTTGATTCACTCCCCAGGTGGCCACAACAGCTGGACCTGAGCCGATCTGAAGCTATGAGTCCGGAGCCTC